TGTTCTAAGTTCATTTCGACAAATTAACACTGTCTTTTTTTTACATTCCTGTATTCTTCGAAAAGGTGCAAACGTCTATTCTACATTTACTCATAAATACAAACAGGCCTAAATACGTTATTCAGAATGCACTGGCTTATTATTCGTTTTGCTCTTTGATGTGTAACAGATTGAAAGTAAACTCATGTAACTTCAGAAAAAGCAACAAACTGGTATGGAAGTTTTTTTATTATTATTATTATTGGATGTAAACTGTCATAGACGAATATGGTTGGATTAAAGGTTTTGTTGGTTGACGAAAAGTTTATTTTTGTACGGACATTATAGTATAATAATTATTAGAGAATATTATGGCCAAAGTTCGTTGCTATTTATTAGCATTTTTAGTAGTACTGTCAGTGAAGACTATTTATAATAATGGTATTAATGATGCTGACGACATTACACCCCAAAACCAAATCGATGAGAGCAATTTAAAGTCCCTTTAAGCACAAAAAAAGTTAAATGAACAAAAGGTCAGTTGAACATTTTTACAATTATTTTATACACGAAGCACTCTGAAATAATTTAAATCATTGATGAGCAATCTTTATGGTATGAATTTCTATAGTACAAATTTACTTTAATTATTTTAAAAGATTTATTTTAAAATTATATTGGCTTTTGTGACACTAACCACGTTGAATGATTCAAATTAAACGATATCATAATCATCATTACGTAATAATTCAAAGTGATTTCAGTATAATGGTTCAAAGTGATTTCAGTATTCTGAGTGACAGAGACATACGATGATGTATGTGAAGCACGAAACCTTTTCCGAATGGTCAAATAATACAATAGTGAATGCCAAGCAGTCTACACGCACGATAAGACTCAACGTAAACTATAAGAGATAGTTTACATTGAATTCGATCGTACGTGGACTGTACCGAGTCAAATTATCCAAACAATCATATGAACAACTCATTGCAAAGTTATTCTAATTCCGTGTATTTGTGTAAAAAACGTGACCTCTTACAACTGCAACATCTTCGCGTGCTAATTAATAACTTGAATTTTGCGGCAATTTGAATTTTGGTAATAAAAAAATTGTCACTTTACCTCTGCTTCGCCCATCTCAAATTGCACAAAAAGATGACCAGTACAAGTGTAATGCAAATTTTTGAAATATTTTATAATGTCCGCATCGTTAATTTTGCAGAAAAACTGGATCCATATGCCAGGAAGAGAAGTTGTGAAGGATCCGAAATCATTCTCGCGATTTCTAATGCATAAAAAATTACCATCTTTTATTTCCCTCGATGCCTTTTTC